TATATAAATAATACAAAATTAGAAGTATTAACCTGGGACAAGTCAACTTCATTTAACATCACAATGGAAGTACAGCCATAATCATACACTAATCTCCAGAAGTCTTTCACAGTGTTTGGCAGAGGGTATTGTGTGACAATGAAAGCAGCTGGTTGCCTGTAGCTCTGTGAAGTACAAGATAAACAGAAAAACATAAGTTAAAATGCAAGGTCAGTTGTGCAAGCAGATTTAATATTCTGGTAACATATTCATGTAGAGATTGAAGTGAGCTTTGATGAGTAGTCCAAGATGGCATCATTGTGGTCAATTTACCAGCAGCTCCAAGTAAGAAAGACAGGCAGTCTTCTTCTATGCAATTTAAAACATCTGAAAACCCACTGGAGGGTCAGTGTAGTGTTAGCCTAAAAGCTGCCCTTTTTTAGCCATTTAATCTCTAGTTTCCAGCTACCTTAACTGTAGACACATGGTTTTGCAAGTCAGCATGGTCTTGCAAATCACCAACAACTGTGGGATGAGGATGAAAGAGATAGTGCTTTCCACACTGGCAGCAAGACTTGTGGTGGCAAGCCTGGAGGGAGATGGGGACAGATTCTATTTGTGAGATCATGGTGATTGTTGGAGAGTCTGTGGCATTGCTGTGGAGAAACTTTTGCCGGGTGAGACCTGATGCTTCCTGCATTTGTGCTGGCCAGTCAAAGGTTTTTGCTGTTCTTGCCAGATACTTGGAGGAGAAGCTAACTTATAACTGCTCTAGGAAAAATTTTGCTGGATGATTTGGATTTGACTGCTAAACTGAAGTCAGAGTCTGGATTAATTGAGGAATCATGCCTCGCAACTGCTGGACTTAAACCTGGACTTGTATCGTGAGATATTCTTTGCCTCCCCCAATCTCCAACTTACTTCCCTCATAAACCCCATTCTTAGTACCACAACGGTTATTCCGTGACTCAACAACTAATAAACTAACATCTTGCTGCAGGTGGGGCTCTAGAAGCACCATGAGGCTCTTTATCTGCTTTCTACTCAGGGGCAGTGAGGGGCTGTGCTATTCTTACTCTCCCTGGCCCTTTCAGAGAGGCACACACCTCCCTGTGCTCCCATGTCCCATTTTCTGCTCCTCAGACAGTCAGCTATGAGTTGATCTAATGGAACAGCAATGGACTGATTTTTGAGTTGACTGAAATGGAACTGATTTGCTGCTTAAGCTATGGAAGAAGAGAGGAGGACTCATGGAATGCACTTGTACTAGTAATTAGTCAATGTGAAAGTAAGACTTTGATTTTCCTTAGCAACATGTCCAAAGTCAAGAACTGAATTTGCTTTTTATTGAGAGAAATAAACACAGGAGTGGGGAACGGAGAAGGAAAAACTAAGAAACTTCTTGAAGTTATAATCCTCCATTATGAAGTAAAATCATGTATGTGAGAGTTTGTGAGCGTCTATCTCTCTGCAGTGATATATTCTGTCAATTCTTGGGTTTTTTTTAGTATTTAAGCTTTAAAGTTGCTGCAAACAGGGAATTTCCAAATACTGAACTGTTTTCTCTCAGGGCAATCTGTCATTTTTTTCAGAAGGAATTTTTATATAAATAAAGATGTATAGTTCTATTTAGTGATATAAATGAATAATTTGTAAATCAAATAGTTTTTCTTAGACAGACTTCCATACTCATGATAGGAAGAGCCATTATTTTCCTAAATCACTAGTATCCTGTGACCATTGTTGTTGCTGTTGTGTGCTGTCCAGTCAGAACCAACTCATAGCTGACTCTTCAGATAGTATTCAGGGGCTCTAAGTCACTCATGTTGCTGTTGTTGTATGCCATCCAGTTGGACCTGACTGATAGCTGACCCAGCAGCAGGTTTTCAGAGGCAGTAAATCACACAGGAGGAGACTGCCCATCCTTATCCCGTGCAGTAGCTGATGGGTTCAAACATGGTGTCTTCAGCTACTCTCTACTTATTATATCACTTGTTGTGTGCTGTTGAGTTGGAACTGACTCATACCTGACCCTGCAGCAGATTTTCAGAATGAGTAAATCACACAGGAGGAAATGATGACCGCTATTTATTGAATCTAACTTTCAGTGCATGAAATCTTTTGCCTTCCACCATTTCCTTAATTAACTTCCCAAACATTTTCCCTAATAAACTCCACAACTGTGACTAAATAGTGATTCTGTAAAGTCTATGTGGGCATTTGCAATAAATTTTGGATTCAGTCCTTAATTGAAGTAGGTGCAGTAGAGTAGCGGTCATATTTGACCTTTTATGCATCAGATTTATACTGTTGATGTTGTTGATGGGGGAAGTTCATTAATGTGGAATTAGTACAGGTCTGACTCTATCCTCCCCGTTATGCCCTTGCTTCTTTTATATGGCCTGACTACACTACTGAGACTATAGGTAAGTTATAACTAGGAATATATATATATATATATTATTAGCTAAGGGCTGATTAATGAAGTAAGAAACGAGTAATTAGTATATTAAACATCAGAGAGAAAAAGGTCTCAAATCAACCCTCCTTCTAGATAACATTCAGTAATTTTTAAAATTCATTCCTATGTGTATCGAAAACAGACAAATGTGATTTTCTTTACTGAAAATAACTAAGGTTAAAAAAGAAGAAATCATTTGAAAGGTATTTACAGACTATAAAAATCCACAATCACATTCACTACTACATTAAAGGTTTAAAATTCTAACTCCTCACAATCACTGTAGGGGAAATCCAAAATCATTCAAAACGTTTCTTTTAATTCATATTTCCAATTCTTTTAGGCCATTTTTGAATTTCCAAGAAAAGAAAAAAAAAGTTCGTGGGTATTTTGTTTTTGTTTTTTCATTATGTAGCTTTTAATGACCTCATGGCACTTTACAGTAACAAAGAAGGCAGTCTCTTACGTCCATAAGAGCAGCATTGATGTAGTTACTGCTCTCTCCATCAATTGTAATTAAAAAAGGCAGACATCTGTCAGGTGGCAGCATGTCCATGAAACGATTCTTGTCATGATTCCTTGGCAGGCATGCTATACTGCAGTCTTCAGCTTGAAGTCGAGGGGTGACTGAATTCAGGGTCTAAGAAGAGAACGGAACCCAGGTTAAAAACCAGTGACCTAGTTAACAACACAACACAGATCCATCATGTATTTAGGATACCAAGAAGAAAGCAGAGGATTTGTGCTGAGCAATTGTATTTGCACTATGACCGGCTGTAGTTAAAGTTAATAAAGACCAGTGAGACACAGAAAAAAATGCACATTTTTCAAAGTACACTTTCTTAAAAAAGGAAAGCATAATAACATGGATATGTGTAAAGTTTGTCATGTAACCAAAGAAAAGCTATTCTGAATGGCCCCAAATCATAATTCTTCATTAGCGTTGGAAACTATATCATTTTGACACAGCATATTGGGAAGAATTTGGTTTTTAGAGTCACTCTTGACTTCATATACATACACTCTCAGAGATTATTTTAAAAAGGCAATGAAAGCATGTTTAGCACCAACTTCAGCTATCACACATTGAGCAAAACAAAAGGGCAAACTCCATAAAATAGCATGAAAAACAATGTTGCAAAGACACATTAATCACTCCAAATCTGACTTTTGTGCTACCTTTTCCCAGATACTTTTCTCTGAGTCTAAACTTCTTTGTCCTTCAAGATATTACAGATATGAGCTCATTAATACTAAAGGTATTACATAATATACATAATGAAAGAGACAGGTATTATATATAACACAGGGTTAAGGGCTATCCATTTGACTGCAAAGACTTTCCTATAAAGAATGAATCCTATCCTGAAGAAATTGTAGTAAGCTAATCATAAATGAGGTCTTTGAAAAAAGCAAATACCTGAAATTCGTCTTTGAGATGGGAAGAGTTGGTCTGGGAGTCTATTCTAATCATATCAAAATATGCAGCTTTAAATTCACAGACAGGTATGGCAGTTTCTCCACATAAGCAGGCTTCTAAAATGGCATCATGAATAAAAATGTACTGTTCCTATCAAAAAGAGGAAAAAAAGAAAAACTCATATGATTTTAGTAAAACATTCCTGTCATCACAGTAGACGTTCCAGAATTGTTCTTCCTATATGAAAATATTAGTGAAAAAACCCCCAGTATACCTAAAGAACTAAGAAATGTCTATTCTCATGTTTGATATGTTTTGTAAGGCAAAAGCAAAATCCACTAAAGGTAAATCAACTTACCTCTGTCTGGACCATATTGATCCGGCGAGATCTTAAGGCTTTGACACAATTGTAGATGTCAACAACACCTTCCCTCTCAGCCATGTCCAGCATGATGTCAATCACAATATAGCAGCCAGTCCTTCCAGCTCCGGCACTTCAAAAGAAAAAATTACACACATAGCCATGTTGTTGCTGTTGATTGCCATCGAGTTGGGCACAATTCTTAGCAACACTATGAACAAAAGACCTGAAGCCTTTCTATGACTATCATCATTTATCAAGGTTCATAGAGTTGCCAAAGACATGTTGTTTAGGAAATGAATATCACTCCTACTTCTAACACACACACACACACATACACACACACACACACGGGTGTGCATAATAAATGGGAATCCCAGAACATTTGATTATGCTTATGCAAAAATTATACTTGAACAAGCTGACAGTCGTCAGAACAGAACAAGATGATACTGCATGGTACAAAATCAGGAAGGGTATCTGCCAGGAGTGTATTCTGTCTCCATACCTTTTCAATCTATATGCAGAACAGATCATCTGGGATGCTGGGCTGTATGAGGAGGAATGTGGCATCAAAATTGGAGGAAGATTAATCAATAATCTGCATAATGCAGATGATACAACCCTGCTTGCTGAACTGAGGAGGACCTGAAGCGCTTGCTGCAGAAGTTAAAGGACTGCAGCCTTCAATATGGATTGAAGCTCAACATCAAGAAAACAAAGATTCTCACTACTGGGCCAATTGGCAGCATCATTATGGATAGTGAAGAGATTGAGATTATTAACAGTTTTAGTTTGCTTGGCTCCACAATCAATACTCTTGATACCAACAGCCAGGAAATTAAGAGACTAATTGCATTGGGAAAGTCAGATGTCAGGGACCTCTCCAGAGTACTGAATAGGCCTTAGTCTTTGCAATTGCATGCTATGCATCAGAGAACTGGACAATGATTAGGGAAAATAGAGAGAGACTTGATGCCTTTGATTTTCGGTGCTAGAGAAGAGTGTTAAATATACCATGGACTGCTAGGAGAACAAATAGATTCATCCTGGACAGGGTGAAACTGGGCTGCTCCTTGGAAGCAAGGATTCTGAAGCTTCATCTGACATATTTTGGACATGTTACCAGGAGGGACTAGTCCTTGGAGAGGTATATCAAGTTTAGGAAGGTGGAGGGACAGTACAAGAGAGGAAGACCCTCGATGGAATGGATTGACTCAATGACTGGGGTACTGGGGTAGGTGTGTCAGAGACAATTAGGTTGGCACAGGATAGAACAGTGTTTAGGGCTCTTGTATATAGCATTGCTGTGAACCGCAAATAACTTGATGGCACATAAAAGCAACACACACACACACACACACACGTCAGTGAAGAAAACAAAATATTATTTTGGTCTCTTATTGTTCCAGGAGTAGAATTCACTTTGGAGTTGGCTGCTTCTTTTCTATAAACCTAGAAATACCTGAATGTAAGTGCATGATGACTGTGTTTCAAGGGCTTCTGAGAATATTGGTGCATTGGTAGAGCAAATGATTCAAAAAGAAAGTTACTATGAATTAATGGAAATCCAAAGGTTTTTGGTTTGTGTGGGGTGTGGGTGTGTGTGTGTGTGTGTGTGTGTGTGTGTGTGTGTGTGTGTTTAATGAAAGTAAACCTCTGTGAAAAGTCCAAAAATCCCTGAATTGAAACTTAGATCATTTCCTAAGTGGTTGGGTGGGCTAGTAACATTATTTCTTACTTGTAGAGTTTTGGTCACATCTCAAACTTACTGTTCATTTGAAAATTTAAGCAAAAGCCTTTGGCTATCTCTGGCAAAGCCAATCGCTGTTCCCAGGGTTTGAGACAGGAAGGTAATTGAAGAGTACATCAGATTTCCTGGGAGGAAGTGAATAGAAGATTTTTCTCCTTTTTTCTAGGGTATATAGAATCTGACCCTTATATAATATCTTATCTCTATTTCCTTCTCTGTTTTCTCTTCTTCCTCTTTAAATTCTACATCAGTTAGATTTTCAGGAAAAAATAGTGCTTAACTACAACCTATTACATACCTTGTGGTTGGGTAGTATGTGAAAATGTGTGTAGCATTTCTGAAAAGCTTTTTAGATTCAGAACTCATTTTTCTGGTCACATCTCTAAATGAGGCCATGCATCAAAATATCTTTGAATGCTTGTCTTAAGAAAAGTTTCTAATCAGAAGATGGTCTGAAAATAATTTCCCCTTTTCACAAGCATTTATTTGCTGGATTTCACTGATGTAGATTTCAAGGTCTTTTTATATATATAAAAAAAATCTTAAATAGCTGTTTTGCAGCACAAATTCTTGCAATTTAGGCCATTTAGAAATTTGGAGTCTCCAATTTAGTTTTAAAAGCTGGGATTCTACTGGGAATTTACAAGAGAATTTCAACCCACCATCCCATATGAATAGGATTTTCAAAAGCAATAAAAAGGAAAACAGAAAAAAAAAAGGAAAACAGATCAGAAATACTGATATTATCTTGAAAGACAGAGTGTCTGCATTTACTGCACACACATTTGGATGAATGCATTTATTTCTCAAGTTTCTATTTTATGTGCCAGTTACAGATACCTTTTGTTGCTGTTTCTCCTCATCTAATATACGCAAGCTGGAACTTTGGAGACACAAAGCTTTTATTCTTAAGGGCTTACTCTCCAAGTTGTTATGTACTATTGAGTTGGAACTAACTCCTATCAGACCCTCCAGTAGGTTTTCAGAGGTAGTAAGTTACATAGAAGAAGAGCATCCATTTTTCTCCCATGGAGCAGACCACATGCCTTTGGGTTGTCAGTGTAACTTCTAACCACTGTGCCACCAGAGTTCTCTAATTACATGCACTAAGAAAAGCCAACTACAAACAGGTGACAACACTGAAATCATACTCACCTGCAATGCACAACGATGGGACCGGCACTGGGAGGATTGGACAACTTGACCCTCCGTATGAAGGAAAGAAGCCCTGTGGCATGGTAGGGAACTCCGTGGTCAGGCCAGCCAGTGAAATGGAATTGTTTAACCTCACGGATCTCATTATATGCCCTCTGTGTGGAGATGGAAAGAAGTGTTTTCAAAGGATTGAAATAAATCTATTAAACATAACAATGGGCAATAGATTTGGTCGACAATGAAAAATGAAGGAGGGAAAAAACCCCTACAAACCCACAAACATCAAAGATCATGCTGGATTTCCTCCTTTCACCCTGACAAAAAAGCTGTTGCCCTGACATGGCATAAGAGCTTACTTTTATTGACATACAACTGTCCAAGGAAGAAAATGAAAAATCTTGCTCAATGCTTATAGTTTGGGTAAATTTTATTCACTTTGTCAGTTTGGTGCTTACTGGAAATGACAATACATAAAATTATTGGGGGATAAAGGAGAAAATGGGTAAGCTAAAATGCTGCCCTATTGACCTAAAGCACTGAGTTCTCAAGCAGTGCATAAAAAGTAACTTTCTAGTTCCTCACCTCCAAAGAGATTTTAATGCCTTGCTTATCCATGTTGAAAATGGTTTTGAAGCATAGCATGTAGGGATTTTCCAGGACAGTGCTACTCTAGATTGGTTTGTGGAAATACACAGCTAAACTGTTCTTTGGCCAGACCATTTTTCTTAGCTCTGTGAAATAATTCAGCACACAGCACATTATTTATAGTAACAAAAACCACAAAATGAAATAAGTGAAACATCTATTGTTGTGGCCCTCTCCTACAGGGTTAATTTAAGAGAGCCCTTTAAATGTATATTTCAAAGCCTTTTCCTTCCTCTTGTAAAAAGCAGGCTGTAGATTTTGGTAGCACAGCTTCGAGGCTAGAGAGGAACAGCTACAGAAATTATTTTTTAAAATACACAATCTTAGTAAAAAGAGTATCTATATAGCTCAAACTCTACTGTAAGGTGAATGTGAAATTTCCATCTTCTTTGTTCAATTAGAAAAGGTAGAAAAATTATATGAAATAAAGAAAATTTAGAAAGAGGGGTAATTTTTAGATTCTGAATTATATAGATCAATATCCTTTTTAAAACCTTGGGAGCCAGAAATCATGATTCATATTTACTTTTAATTCTAGTTCCTACCTAGCACAATACTCCATGTAATGCAGGGTAATACTGATTGCTCTTTGGTATTTTCTATTATTGTATATTTTGTTTTAATTTTACATCACTTGGCCTTTGTAGTGGTTTATTTTAATTACCCTTTAGAGGAACAAGAATGTTTTCCCCGCTTCATTTTCTCTCTCTCTTTGTTTTTATTCATTCTGTACTCAATTTTCTATTTCGTATTTATTTTCCTGTGATCTTTAAACTGCCTTTCTAAAGAGTTGTTAATTTATTGGTATACATTATTCCTAGATAACTATGTCAATTGGGAACTAAAACGGCTGATGTCTTCAATATAACTTTTCTGATTTTCAAGAGGCTAATTTTTGGGAGCAGTAGACAAAGATGTGTTAATGCTTTCTATTGGATTGTGGAAACACTTCAACATTTTGTAGTTGTTTACTTTTTGATTAATTTTTTTAAATAAAAAGTTTAAATAAAACTTTCATCAACTTGAGAGAATTAAAAATGTACATTCTATTTTTATATAATAATAATAATAATAGGGTCTAGTTATTTATTAATTAAACTTAAAGGTCCTTTGTGATGTTTGCTGTGTTACTGTTGTTATGGCCATCAAGTCACCTGAGACTCATAGCTACCTTATATACAACAACCCTAAACCTTGCCCTACATTGTGCCAAGCTAACTGTCTCTGACACACCTATCCCCATGACCCCAATCATGGAATCAGTCCATCTCATTGAGGGTCTTCCTCTCCTGAGCTGTCCCTTCACCTTCTCAAGCATGATGTTCCTCTTCAAGGACTGATCCCTCCTTGCACCATGCTCAAAGTATGTCAGATGAAGCTTTAGAATCCTTGCTTCCAAGGAGCAGCCTGGTTTCAACCTCTCTACGATAAACCTGTTTGTTCTCTTAGCAGTCTTTTCTTCAACACCACAGATCAAAAGCATCAATTCTCCTCCTATCATCCCTAGCCAATGCCCAGCTCTCTGATACATAGCAAGTGATTGCAAAGACCATGGCCTGTATCAGGTGACATTGTTGCTCTTCAGTACTGTGGAGAGGTCTCTGACAGCAGACTTTTCCAGTGCAATTCATCTTTTAATTTCCTGACTGCTGGTGCCAAGAGTGTTGATTGTGGAGCCAAGCAAAGTTAACAGTCTCAATCTCTTCACCATCTATCATGATGCTGTTAATCAGCCCTGTGGTGAGAATCTTTGTTGTTTTTTTTTATATTGACCTTCAATCCTTATTGAAGGCTGTGGTCATTGATCTTTTGCAGCCAGTGCTTCAGGCCCTCCTCAGTTTCAGCAAGCAGGGCTGCATCGTCTGCATAATGGAGACTGTTGATGAGTCTTCCTCCAATCCTGATGACATATTTTTCCTGATAGAACCCAGCCTCCCATATAATCTGTTTTGCACATAGATTGAAAAGGCATGGAGATAGGACACACCCCTGGCGTACTCCCTTCCCAATTTTGAACCATGCCGTGTCTCCATGCTCTGTTCTGAATACTGCCTCCTTGTCCAAGTACAGGTTTCACATAGCACAATCAAGTGTTCTGAGATTCCCATTCTTCTTAGAGTTAGCCACAGTTGGTTGTGGTCCACACAGTCAAATGCCTTTGCATAGTCAATGAAATACAAATAGACAGACATTCCTCTGGTGCTCCCTGCTTTTAGCCAAGATCCATCTAACATTAACATTAACCCTAGCACCACAGCTTTTTCTAAACCTGGCCTTTCCTTCTGGCAGTTCTGTGTTGATGTGCTGTTCCAGTCATTTTTTTTTTTTATAATCTTCAGCAGAATCTTGCTTGCATGTGATATTAATGATACTCTTTGATAATTTCCACACTCTGTTGGATCACCTTTCTTTGGAATACTGTTGCTTATTTTCTTCTACCCAATTTGTTAAAGAAACTTCTTGTACATATTCTGGATAGTTGTAATCATTCTATTCTGTATAATGATACTTTTCATTTAATATTTTCTTTTATCTTTTTCAGCTACATTTTTTCATTATTTATAAATATCATTTGTTAAAACAAGATTTCTAAATAATATCTATAATAGTTTAGCTATTTATTGCTGTGCACTTATGATTATTTATACTTTCCCACTTTGAGGACTAAGGCGGCATGTCACAAACCATAGTCTTTCAGTCACCTTGTTTATGTGTGAAAGCTAGACAAAAAATAAGGACAACTAAAGAAGAATATATGCTTTATATTGTTGACGACTATACCAGAAGAACAAAGAACTCTCTTTTTGTAGAATTACAGCCAGAATGTTCCTTAGAAGTTCATATACTTTTGACATGTTATCTGACATGTTAATTGGAGAAGGATATCATGATCGATAGAGGGTCAGTGTAAATAGGAAGACAATGAGATGGACAGACACAACGTGTATGACAATGAGCTCAAAGACAGCAATGACTGTGAAGATGCTCCAGAATTGTGGGTTTTTTTAGTCTGCTCTAGTAAATGGAGCTTTGGTAGGATGGTCTACAGTGAGCTGTGCTGCTAAGCCAAAAGGCTGAGCTTCTCATGGTTCAAATTCACCAGCAGCTCTGCAGAAGAAACAGATGGAAAACACCCTCCTGTTGGGATTGAGAGTCTTAGAAACCCAATGAATAGTTATCATGAGTTGAGCTAACCTGACGGCTGTGAGTTTGAATGAATTTATGAGGAGGAGTTTCCCTGACAGCATCTTACAGCAGTAACATTTTTAAGATTATAAGTTAGTCCTTATATTTTAAAAAAAATTCCTCTGGATGGACTTCTTGCAGGTAAATAAATCCAAGCCCTAGTGACCTAATGCTTTACAACAATTGAATGGTGATTGGTAGTATCTGAAAACACAGCTCATGAAAGCCTTATATTCACTTCTTAAAATTCTTACTACTTTGAAAAGTTATCAGTGCATGAGGTCAAGCAGTTTTAAAAGGGATAATAGTAAATTGGAAATTCCATTACCTATTTATACTAACACTACTAATTACATATATTAATAACTCCAAATTTTGGTATGCATATATTCAATACTTTTTATATGGAAAATTTCATATTTTTTATGTGGCAAAGTTTACTAAGCTCTTTCTCAGCAGTTTATTTTGTGACTTCCATGTCCCAAACTAATCTTCCAGGCCCCACCCTGTTTTAGTGTTTCCTCATGTTCATCCCATGCTTAAAACCTCCACTGAATTCCCGGCTCACCTTTAATACAAACATAAGGCATCATCATAGCCCATAAGGGCCCACTTATCAGGCTCTGTGACTTGTCTGACTTCATTTTATATCTATTTCTCCTTCACTCACTCCTCTCTGAACATTCATCCTCTTATTCTTGCTATTTCTTATTCTGACAGTCATAGTCATGCCTCAAGGTCAATAAAGAGATTCTTCTTTCTGTTAGAAACACTCTTCCTCTGGACATAACCTATGACTCACTCCCTCACTTACTTTAAGATTTTACTCATACATCACGTCTCATCCCTTTAAAATTGTGAACCTTCCCAAACAATATTTCTTGTTTCCATTTCAAATAGCAATTTTCTCTGTAACACTTAAAACATATCTTCTTTCTTGTTTATCTGCCTATTTTAGTCATCTATTTATTTGTTGGTAAGGATATTCAAAGCAAATCACTCACCAGTTCAAATGTCACTGATGACATTCTCTGAGTTGTGCAGCCAATCCCACCCTCCTTTTCAGACCTGTCCTAGCCTATCTTTTATTGCCTTTGCTGAACTGATATTGAGTGCCATAGGACAGTGTTTTTAAATGTGCAACATAGACTATAAATACATCCGGTAACAGGTAAGTTCCCAGATATTTGTAGAATAAATGAATGAATTTTTAAAAGAACCATAAAAATAAAGCTTGAGAAATAGTTTTAAAAGAAAAATCAGTTTCAGTATACAGTTTTCTAAAAATAGAGTTTTAGGATACTTACTCTTTCAAGGGTGAATGTCCTAACTACATATTCAGCAAGAGGCTCCATTTCTACACAAGTTACTTTGAAATCACCATAAACTTCAGTATCATCAGGCCAATATTTATAGCATTTCACCTAAGTGACAAAGATAATAGACATATCTCAACAAACAATATGCATTAAAGCAGCATGACTGAATGTCAGTTACAGCTATTCAGTTCACAATTAAAAGATAGGATTCATATTTTAAAGATGCAAATGAGATAAATTATGTTGCATAATAAATTGAGACTTTGTCAATCTTATAGAAATGTCAACCTTATAGGCAATTAGAGTTCAGGACAATATCAAAGTTTCCTTAACTACTCAATAATAAAATAAAACCATTTTTATGACAATAAAGGTGTACTTAAGAACAATGATTGAAATACTATGGCTTGTCCAATAAATTTTCCCCTCTTCTCTTCATAAATGAATAATATTCTATTTTAAGTATATTATGCTTTGCTATTGAATATAGAATAAAATTTTAGAGCAGTAACAAAAATCTTAATGCCTTACCCGGCCAACTTCAACTAAATTTGTAACCATCACAATGCAGGCAGACTGTTCTTGCCAAATCATTCTCCAAAAATCATATACTGTTTCATGAACTGGACCTGTGAAAAATTAATTTGAGTATTAAGTTAATAGAAATATTCAGTATTTAATAAAAACCTTAGGTAAGATCGAAAGTTAAATAAATCACTCAAATAAGTTTAAAAGTGCAATGCAAAATGTTGTAAATTCTTAGTTTTATATACGTAAATTTACACAGTAGATCAAATCATGGGGATACGAAAGGTTTTCATGGTTTTGGGTTTTTTCCAGTCAATTTTTCTTTTCTAGTGCCCAATTTAGGAGAAGATGTCAAAAGTTATACTAAGATATTTGTCTCTGTCACTTTAGAATGTTGTTGTTGTTGTTATGTGCCGTCGAGTCGTTTCCGACTCATAGAGACGCTATGCACAACAGCCCTAAATCCTGCTCTATCCTGCGCCAACCGCACTGCCTCTGACACACCCATCCCGATTACCCCAGTCACTGAATCGATCCATCTCATAGAGGGTCTTCCCCTCCTGCGCTGTCCCTCCACCCTCCCAAGCATGATGTCCCTCTCCAAGGACCCGTCCCTCCTGGCAACATGTCCAAAGTATGTCAGACGAAGCCCCAGAATCCTTGCCTCCAAGGAGTAGCTTGGTTTAATCCTCTCCAAGATGAATCTGTTTGTTTTCCTGGCAGTCCGTGGTACATTCAGTACCCTTCTCCAGCACCACAGCTCAAAAGCATCCACTCTCCTTCTGTCCTCCCTAGTCATTGTCCAACTCTCTGATGCATAACAAGCGATTGCAAAGACCATGGCCTGTATCAGGCGCACCTTAGTCTCCAGAGAGACACTGTTGCTCCTGAGTACCTTTGAGAGGTCCCTAACGGCAGACTTTCCCATCGCGATACGCTTTTTGATTTCCTGACTGCTGGTACCAAGAGTGTTAACTGTGGAGCCGAGCAAAGTGAAGCTGTGAACACTCTCAATCTCTTCATCATCCATCCAGACGCTGCCAATTGGTCCAGTGGCGAGAATCTTTGTCTTCTTGACATTGAGCCTCAGTCCATACTGAAGGCTGCAGTCCTTGACCCTTCGAGGCTGCAGTCCTTGACCCTTCGCAGCAAGTGCATGAGGTCCTCCTCAGTTTCAGCAAGCAGGGTTGTGTCATTTGCATAACGCAGATTGTTAATAGATCTTCCACCAATCCTGATGCCACAATTCTCCTCATAGTGCCCAGCTTCTCGGATAATCTGCTCTGCATACATGTTGAAAAGGTATGGAGACAGGATGCATCCCTGGAGTACACCCTTCCCAATTTTGAACCATGCAGTGTTGCCCTGCTCTGTTCTGACTACTGCCTCTTGATCCAAGTACAGGTTTCGCATTAGCACAATTAAATGTTCTGGGATTCCCATTCTTCTCAGAGTCAGCCACAGTTTGTTATGATCCACACAGTCAAATGCCTTTGCATAATCAATGAAACACAGATAGACATTCTTCTGGTATTCTCTGCTTTCAGCCAAGATCCATCTAACATCAGCAACAATATCCCTAGTACCACGACCCCTTCTAAACCCAGCCTGGACTTCCGGCAGTTCTCTGCTGATGTGCTGTTCTAATCATTTTTGGATGAACTTCAGTAGAATCTTGCTTGCATGTGAAATCAATGACACTGTTCTGTAGTTTCCACACTCAGTTGGGTCACCTTTCTTTGGAATGGGAACAAATATAGATCTACATTCTAAAATAATGTGAGGAAAGGTAATATTAACTACCAAGCGAAGTACATTTGCTGTTGTTGCTGTTGTGTGCCGTTGAGTCGTTTGCGACTTATGTACAACAGCCCTAAACTCTGCTCTGTCCTGTGCCAATCGCACTGTCTCTGACTCTCCCATCCAATTAATCCAGCCACTGAATTAATCCACCTTATAGAGGGCCTTCCCCTCCTGCGCCATCCCTCCACCTTCCAAAGTATGATGTCCCTCTCCAAGTACCGGTCTCTCCTCACAACATGTCCAAAGTATTTTAGATGGAGCCTCAGAATCCTTGCCTCCAAGGAGCCACCCATTTTAACCCTTTCCAAGATGAATCTGTTTGTTTTCTTAGCCACTTACTGCTTCTGAAGGCTCACTTCTGACTTATTAGTATACAACAACAAGACAATGATGATCTATGCAGCATCTTAAAAGTAGAATGTCATTCACCACAGTTCAGTTTGCTCATTTTAAGGAATATAGAACTAAATATAATTCCTCCAATGGTATGTAACAATCACTTAGAAAACTACCCCTGTCAAAAGAACAAATATACCTTATCTTTTACTTCCTATAATTGACATTAAAGCTTTTCTCAAGATGCCAAGAAATAAATTTAAAGAAATAATAGAAGGTTTTTTGGTTAGTCTATTTCTATTTCCCAATATGCCTGAATAGCAAGATTTCCTACTTTCTCATTTTCCAGTGAAGAATGAACTTTACTAAGTTCCCTGTAGCCTTTTGTTTTGGCTCAGTCTTAGTTGTAGGAAAAAAAAAAGCTGGAAGACAGTCAGCGTCTCATTATACCAATATTAATCTTGAATGCTTTTATATTCCAGGATTCCAAGCTGTCAAATCAGACTGCAAATAGGCAGGACCTTTACACAAATGAGATTTCTTTCTACTTTTATCAGATATGAGTAATTTCTCTGACCGGCTGAGTAATGCTTTGAGTCATCAAACACAAGAGAATAAAACTCACAACTGCTGACAGCTTCTCTTCTACTTTTAATGAAAAACAATCTTTAATTTACATGCTTAATACAGATAAAAAGAACTATATTTTTAAAATGAATAAAGAACAAATTACATATAAGCTATTTCTTCAGTTATTTTGTAGAAAAATGAAAAAAAAAATCAAACCAAAAAACCCATAAAAAGACATCTCACCACTCCAAAAAACTTAAAACACTTACATGGTTCCTTTGGGTAAACAAACTTATTTGTTTGACTATATTTTATAAAGTCTTACCTTGGGTTGCAATGTAGTGGCTTGGTCTCTGATACCCCTAAATAGGAAACAAATTGGTTATCATTTTACATTAGTATAGGAAGTAAATGAATGAAGGCATAAAAAGATGAAGACAACCACCTGTTAAGATTAAGTTATAGTAAGTCCAGAAAAGAGTAGTGAACATATTTCGTTCACTTCTCAAACCTAGGTTATCTGAAAGGTAAGCATAAAACAAAAATGAAATATTTGAAGGGCTCTGCTGAGAATATATCTATTACATAATTGAGCGTTGTTTGCTGTGTAATAACCTTACAGATTTTGTTTAATTTCACTAAAATGTTTATGCCTTCATGTTAGTGTTTAGTCATTCACTCTTGGCAAAATTTTGTTTGAACTCATCAATTCATTTTTCATCATCCAAGAGTACAACACACCATTACAAATGGACAACGACATATTAGAACCAGAAAAATAATAACAGAACATTCCAATGTTAGAGCTGGACAATGCATGTGTGCACAAGTCACCAAAGCCCTACGGAGATTTTTATCAGAGAGATCATTCCTCTTGTAGAACATGTTCAGGAATCTGACAAAACAACGTTTTGTGTGCTAATAATATTAAGTGACACACATATAATTATAGATACACACATATATAGGAAAGAGTTTATTTTTTTTAAGTGTCTCTGCTCCTGAACAAACCATTTCTTAAGTGTGTCAAGAGCTCTAAATAGTTAAACACTGACTTTTTTAAAAAGAATAAATTTTTCATGTTAGGAATCATTTGCTAATTATCCTGAATTGATTAGAATTTGAAACCTATTTTGAGTTGCAAAACAGCCATAAATAGTGGGATCAACTTCTGAATTTTTTGTGTACTCATCAATGGGGTGGTGTAAAATGGGTGGTAAAATTAGTTTACATTCTGGAGTACCATTGAGTTCATTTTCACACATAGTATCCCCATGTGACAGACTAGAACTTTCTCATAAAATTTTCTTAGCTGTCATCTTTACTGAAGCAGATCGCTAGAGTTTCCTCATCCACAGACTCTGGGTGAATGTGAATCACCAATTTCAATTAGCAGCTTAGTGTTTAAGGTCCTCAAGATAAAATTTATTATAGCTGGAGATTGCAGTATTGCAAAACTTGAGTGTTTTTTATTTCTTTATATACTTAAGTTGCACAGGGTATTATGGGATGTTATTATTGTAAACTGTAAGCATTTTATATCAATTTTACAAAAATTTGTCAATTGCAAAGTATTTCTTTTAAGTGCAATAAACTAATGGGAAAGAGTAAATTATAAGCAATATTGCAATCAGCCAAAACACACTGGGGTCTTAACAGAAAGACGGGGTAGCAATAGAGTCTCATTTCATATCACCTTAACCATACAGCAGTATTATTACAAGACTCTAGTGTATCTGTCTTGGCAGAAAACCAAGGTTACGTAAAAGAGAGTAACTTACATATTTGTTAGATGTACTGATTTTCTTATTTATTTAGTTAGTTCTAAAGAGAAGATAATTAATTTAATTCTCAATGAGAAGGAATTTGATTTCTTTTAAATATGAGATTAGGATTAGAAATTTAACCTTGATACTCATATACTTATTAAAAGATGTCATTTCATATATATATATATATATATATGTATATATATATAAATAAAATTACAACATACAAAATAACTAAAATTAAGCTTAATAAAAATGATAAAATGGTTTCTTTTTAATGGAGATTGGAACAAGTTGAGCCTTAGACATATTATTTTTTGTATGTAAATATATGCTTCTACATTAATCTCTGATATTTATTATACTTTTTTACTTATTAGAAATGTATATTTTGAATGCAATAACTTCAGCACACCTAGATTTTAATTAATTAAAAAATAGCTAAAACTTATAGTTTATTATATACTAGGCATTTTATTAAGTGTTTAACATGTATAACTTCATTCAATTTTCATAACAAAATTATGAATGTATTACTATTATCATCGTCTCTAATATGAAGATAAACAGAGGCATATAAACATGGAGTTATATTGCTGAGATCTCTTATATATTTGGAATAATGTAGCAGGACAAGAAAGCTTGCCCTAGCAATTAATATATTTCTTCCATAAGGTGGCTCAATGGTAAGAAATTGTACTGCCCCAAAGGTACACAGTTCAAATTCCCCAGCTGCTTCATGGGATAAAGATGGGTAATATCCTTTTGTGCAGTTTACTACCTCTGAAAAACCCGGAGGACCATGAGCTATGAGCCTGTTCTGACTTGACAGTACTCAACAACAGCAGCAGCAGCAGCAACAACAACAACATTTTGGCTTTTAATTTGATGAAATAAAGAGTTTTCATGAATATAATATTGGAAACAAAATTTATCAATGGACATGATACTTTATTTGATGTCTATTTTTCGATATATATGTGTGATATGCATATTTTACAAATGTAATTTAGTACTTATTTTGCCTAAGTAATTTTATTGCTTTACAGGCCAATACAACCCACCACAAAATAATTTCCCTGCTCAACTTTTCATGATAAGTCAAATACAATAAATAAAATTTCAGATACACTAATACACACCATACTATCCAGCTTCTCACATATTGTTTGGGGGAGGGTAAGAATAAAACCATAAACAGAAATCATCAACAAATAAAACTTGAATACATAATCAATTGTCAAAAGCTAAAAATGGTCCTTTTTTTCTAAACATAGAAAAGGAAAAGAGGTAGACAGATCTTTATACAAGTCAAAGAGTTAACAAAAATGAACATAGATATACCATATGAGGCTAATCAGGTGAAGCATGCATTGGTAACTAGTAAGTATTAGTAAGAACTGCGATTAAGAGTAGTTATATCAAATGTTTACAATAGGGTGCTGTTATTTACATATAGTGGTACTTACATCCCTGTACAGCCAAATCTACAGCCCAAACCAAAGTCAGGTGTGAAAGAAAGCACAACAATGTCAGTAAGTACTAGGATGTAGAACAAGAAAAGTGTACAGTTTGTTCTTTATTTTAAAAAGCTAGAAATTACTTTATAGATAATAACATGCAAAAATATTCACGTAGCTAAGGCAACATATTGAGATAATGGAACTGTGAAACTACTTACATCTATGTAGTTGGCATTAATATAATCTGAAGAAGGATCATCTTCAACAGGTTGCAAAATTACTCTCGAGTGGTCATCTGAAAATTGAAATGATGTAATGTCAGTTACTGTACTTCCACCTTGATCTGAGACAATGTTGTAACTCATCCATTATGTACACTGGTAGACATGCAAAGTAATACCCTTAGCTAGAGTCTATTACTATGGTTGTTTCCCCAAACAATCACATTTATAAAATATTGTAAAATAATTTAAATGTGACTAGTGTTGTTTGAGTCAATCGACTGCCAGTTACTCCTTCTCTTTATAGTTCTTATATAATCAGATAATCTATTTATCTCCAGGTAACATTTTACTTAATCATGAGGAATTACCAAAATGTAATTAGCCACATTAACCACCTGCCTATAATACTCCCTGTCTGTGGTAAGCAGAATACTGCCACCTTGGCTGTGTGTGGTGAAAGTATATGGTAATTTATCATTTAGACTTTTGTTGTTATGCACCATTGAGTTGGCATTGACTCACAGCTGATCTCCAGAGAGTATTCAGAGGCAGTAAATCACTGAGAAGACCGTGTATTTTTCTTCTTTGGAGCAGCGGTTGGATTTGAACAGTGTGCCTTTGAGTTGTTAGCACAATTCCTTACCAGAGTTCACAACTTAGACTAAATATTTCATTTTCCTAATATTCTCATCTATTTGAAAGCCACTTCATGGATATAGATACAAACATGATATGAAGTTAACTTTATAAGATGTGCCACCCTCTGTGAACCTCTTCAAGTATAACATAACATATATAAGGAGAACTTGCAACTTATCTTTGCAAATACAAATTTGCTTTCAATAAGAATGCTGTTGTTACTTGCCTAGAGTCCAACTCCTAGTGAACCTATGTACAACAGCTCTGAACCCTGCTCTATCTTGAGCCAAATTCATTGTCTCTGACATATCCACTCCCATTACCCCAGTCACTGAGTCAATCCATCCCATCTGTAAGAATACCTGAGTACTTACAGGCAATAATGTTTCCATATCGGTTTTTTGCTCTATTTTGGTCTTTTTTAGCTACATCCCAAGATGCTGACTGTCCTTCAAAGAAGCTCTAGGGAGGGGGAAAGTAACAAGAAGATTATATTTAATGCCTTTTTCAAAATTAAAGTTTATCTGGTCTAAAGACCAAAATAGTAAAAGCTACTCTCTCAGGGTGGAAGAGTCCTACAGCAGTAAACAGGATCCACAAAGCTTGCTTATTGGATTCATACTTGTTTATCTTGGTTTTGGATTTAGTTCAAATTTAGGACAAGAATTAACTTCAAAGGGGAAAAAAAATGGACCTTGGAAGTATTTAAAACTTAAGAACTCTAGAACTTTATACAAGTAGAGAAAGCATAGGGCATTTCCAAAAGTACTAAAATAGAACACATCAAACATTTCAAAACTGTTTTAGAAAGATTCTTTCAAATATGCTTACTTTACAGCACTTATAACAGGAAAAAGAGAGCCTGTTTTCCACCATAATTATTCATTAAATTATATGCAGTATACAGCTCATTTTAATTTCTTTGAAAATCATAAAAAGGACCGAGTTTCTATAACAAGGGACCATATGAAAATGAAAGAGTCACTGTCTCTAAGAACCTTGGAACAGATGAAGTTGTTGATTGGTTTAATTACCATATGCAGCAATTAAAAATGTGGGCAGAGATGTCTTTTTTGTAAAACAAAAAAACCCCTACACACACACACACACAAAAAAAAAAAAAAAAACCCAAAAAAACAAAACCCAACCCAACCAAAAAAACTTAAGCTTTTGCTCAACACAGGAAATGGGGTCTTCAAAGGAACAGTGCTCTTTGAAGTGAGATACACAGGAATACACATGAAACGAATGTAAGAAAACCCTCACTCTGGCAGAATATTCTAATTCCTTATATTTATTTTGTTGCCACAGCATACCATATCCAACATATGTCTAGACATAACTTTCAAAATTCAAAGATCATTCCAGCCATTACCAAAGTAATGTGCACAAATCTCTATAAACTGGTTTGCTAAAAATATTCTTCATGAATTTATATGTAATTTTCAAAGCCTTTGAATGCAAAGCATTACTTTGATCTTTCATTTTGTGTTTAAGTGTGTGTGTATGTATAGTGTCCTGGGGTGTGGTAGAACTTCCTCTAAGATCTCATACTATCTCTTAGTAAATGAAAGATTAAAAACATTTTAAAAAAAAAAAACCAGGGTGGTTTTGTTTTTTTTTCCCCTATATTTTGTTTATTGAGATTTCTAGATCTTCCTTTGGCATCTCAATCCTGGTATTTTGGTTTAAAAAGGAACGAAAAATAGGGTGGAAGAACTTCCCACATCCTTTGTTTCATTTCTTCATGTTGTTCACTGGATTTGCAGTTCTCTTGTTTTTCTTCTAAGCCACAATTCAACCAACAAGCCACAAAACTGAACTTGGGAGTGGCAAGCAATACTTTTAGTCTACAAAGATTGTTCTTATTTCTCAACGGGTCAACAAGCAAAGGGGCAGAAAAGTGCTTACTGCCTGTGTGAATGACAGACTCTAATGGCACAAGGGGTTCCAGGTAGCTTGGATTCAAGTTACCTTGGTAGCTATGAATTTTTGAATGGAGAAAATACAAGGTCTCATGTGTATTTAAGAAATAGACATTTAGACTTTTTTTTTTATAAATTTGTTGTTAGATGCTGTCAAGCTGACCGACTCATAAGTAACCCTGTGGACAACAGATTGAAATCTTGTCCTATTGTGTGCCTTCCTAAGCAATTTCTGGCATGCTTAACCCCACTGTTAGACACAGTGTCAAGTCATCTCACTGAGGTCCTCTTCTCTTCCACCAGCCCTCTGCTTTTCCCAATATGATGTCTTTTCCAAAGGAGGATGGTGCCTCCTGGTAACATGCTCAAAGTTTATGAATTTAGTTTCACCATCCTTGCTTTTAAGGAGCACCTGGTTGCATTTTCCTCAAGAAAAATTGATTTTGTCATTGTTATTGTTATGTATTATCAAATTGGTACTGATCCACAGCTGAAGTTTTAGTGGGTTTCAGAAGTAGTAAATTACATGGAAGGAACTGGTGGATTCAAACCATCTGCCTTTGGGTTGGCAGCACAACTCCTGAGCACAAAACCAGCAGAGCAACCCTAAATTTGACTCAAGATCTGAGTATGTCCACAAGAAATGGCCTTTTAATTACTCTTTCCCACTTTGATACTCTGTAAACACACACAATGGGTTATATACTCATAAGCATAGGATTATACAGCCCTCAGAACATACGAGAAAATGGAAATAACACATTTCATGAAGTGTCTTGGTTAAGAATAACATTTTATAAAGTACTGAAACTTTTCACCTCATATTCTTCTTTGAACCCATAGCTGTCTGATGTCTTCATGAGATTAATGTGCTGCAGCAAGTCAGCTACTCTGATGGCGGGGTGCAGCTGTCCTGTCTGGTAAGGGGATTCTGTCCCCTCACAGAGGTAGCGAGGCACATCGAGAAGTCGACTGGACTCTGCTGTAGCACTGTGGTTCTCATCTGCCATTTTTTAGATTTGAGAAGATTAAAAAGAAAACAAAGTTATCTTGTTTCATATGCATCCATGCAAAGGAGAGTTTAAGCCCTTAAGATCTTTCTGGTCACAGGAAGAAGAGAATGAATATCCAGAAAGGATAGGCTCAGGGCAGCATCTCCAGAGAGACAAAGCCTCGGTGTCTTAGCTCAGCTCTAGGTTTGAGGTTAAGAGTATCTTATTGTGATTATTATGAACAGTAAGAAAAAAAAATTGCTACAGGAGACAGGGAGACATCAGGCCCACCTTACAAAGTGAGAGATGTTTCTTGAGTTCTTACTTCTCCATACATCTACAGTGGAGAATGGGGCCATGGGATCAACTTGTCAATCAGATGTTTTTATTGACAAATGAAACAAAGTCCTTCCCACCCATACCTGAACTTTCCTCAGGGATCTCGAGCTAGGGAATCCATGTACACAGGGCTGTTCTTCTTGCACTGTGGCCCTGTGTATCTTACTATCTAGTGTCTTACTACCATACCCACCAGATGGGAAAACTGGGCATTATACAGAATCACCTCTTACCTCAGTGTACCTGCTGGCCAGGCTACATGGCTATTTATACTCAAGCACCTCTTATTTTATTACTACTGCTACTCTATTATTAATATTGTTGTGTTTATTGCTAATGTATCTTAACTCTTCCAGTCACTAAATGAAGAGACTAGGCTATACGTCGAGGGAAAAACAATGGACGTCTCCTCTGGAATTCTTCCCACCTGTCCCAGGTGGGGATAAAAAGCTCCTGCTTCATGCTTCCATAACCTCTTGCTCTCATATGTGTGATTTCACTTCTCCATGTTTTAATCATGTGCTTTCTTGACCCCTTTCCTTTACTACTCTAAAAAGCTTAAGAATGTAAATATAATCAAGCTTTCTTTATAATCTCTGCTCACAGAGTACTTTGTAAATATGCTTAAATGAATAGAAATCAATTGGACCTCCCATCCATTTTTAGTGCATCCCCATCCCAATTGTGATATTAGCTTAAAATAAAAAGAAACATTTTAATCTTTTTTTTCTGTCATAAGAAGAAAAAACAAGAACATTTTACCTATGTATAAATATTATTTAATAATAATAAATATTATTTTAATGACCATATACTAATCATTACAATGAGAAGCATGCTTATATTTCTCACATATAAACTTACCACTGTAAATAAAAAAACAAATCAACCAGCCAAAAGCCCCAATGTTTAAAAAGGGTTATTTTTGAAAATCATTATATTGCTATACTCATTAACAGAAGAGAAAATACACTGTTAGGGGAACTTTTGATTCTTTTAATGATAATGCATACTGTAGAAAACATTTAATTAACAGTTAAACAGATTTCAAGTATGTCAGTACATTTGCCTGTTCTATCACCAACTCTACAAATAGGATATGGCAAAAAATGAATTGTTGTCCCCATGATAAACATTTTTTCTTCCTGGAGAAGGGGGAAAAAAAAAAGAACCCCACAATCAGATTTGTATGCCTCTATGATTTAGTTTGACTGCATTTATCTTTACACCTTATATTAGAAAGAATGTATATTTTGCAATCGCTCCTCAAAACACCACACAGAATCAAACATCTCTGGGTGGATTCTATTGTGAACCTAACAACTCAACTGAATGAAAACTTTTCACCCAGTTTCTAGCCACACACACACACACACACACACACACACACATATATGCTAACAAAACATGATTCAGGAGAGCTTCCTTCTCTTCTGAGACCACTTTTAAACAATTCACTTTTGCTAAAATATTAAAATCAATAGACTGACGTAAAGAATATCTATATATCTCCCTGGTAAAATAAATTTCTGCAGCCACTTTTGGGCACTACTACAATATATATAGTTGAAGATGAGAGGTAAAAAGAATAAATAGGTCCAGGAAGACATAAACAGATTACTCAACCTGGAATACAGTAGCCAGGATGAGATCTCTCGATGAGCCCTAAACTCATTTGACCTACTGGGGCCAAATTAACTTACAATTAATTGTAGAAGGCTCAGTAAAAAACACAGAACTCACATATTCTAAATCTTAACACATAACCGTGCCCCATTATAAAGTAGACAGCCTTTTATTTTTCTTCAGTTTTAATACAACAGTACAATGAGCAGTGAGGTCTTTAGAATAATGACACATGAATTATTAATCTCAATACATTTTCACCTCATTAAGCCACCTAATAATGTTACTGCTAGTGAGAGTACATGTACTAATCATTATTCTTATTGCACATTTAAGAAAAAGAATTTCAAATAGTTCTTTGATTGAAAGGTGTTCTAGAGTTCTGAGCATTACACTTACCAGTAATAGGGACTTTGACCCAATGAAGCAGTAAAACACAAAAGAACAGAACCATGAATCAATAAGAAATTTTTTCTCATTCTTTTCAAATCACTAAGTATATATTAACACTTAGTAATATTTGAAGTCATTTAAAAAATTGCTTCATAAGTGCAAAATCAATTGGATGCAAAACAACTGTAAACACACAATTATGAATGATGAAAATGTAACATATAATATCTACCTCTAGAGATCTAGCTTTAAAAGAATGACAATCTTAAAAAATCAATCAGCTTGATTTTCAAAATTAAATAAAATGTTTTATTGTCTTGCAAATAGATTTGATGACTTTACTGGGTTAACTGTAGTTGTCCTTAAAGACACATTTCTTTTCATAAGAAAAATAAGGACTATAAGCTTTAAGTTTTATAATTTGTGGGAGTCCTTCATATACACCATCTCATTTTCTCTTTTCAAATCCTTACACAAAAGTCTGGTGGTGAGTGTTATACTTTGTTTCACAAGTGAGGAAGCTAGGACATAAGATGTTTTGTTGAATTCATATCTGAGTTGAGAACGACTGAAACTCAGATGCAATACTACATGTTTTACACCAGAGAATATTACAGGGGGTAAAAAATATATATATATTTGTTACTGTCATATACCATCAAGGTGGAACCAACCTAAAGCTGCCCTTCCAGTAGATTTTCAAAGGCAGTAAATTGCATAGCAGGAGAGCGACCATCTTATCCTGTGGAGCAGCTGGTAGATTTGAACCATGTGCCTTTGGATTGGCCAGGCAACTCATTATCACTAAGCCATTTAGGCACTATCCCCCCCAAAAAAAATGTTTCTTATTATTTTAATCCCTAGTTATTAATGCAAGGCTAACAGAATTCTACAATGTTCAACAGAAGATGGTATTTTCAGAAGCACTGATGCTTCCATAATGCTCGTGACTCCTGGTTCCAACCCATATGCTGAGGTCATCCCTTGAAAGAAGTGCTCTCATTCATTTTCCTATCATACTGAGTATTCATAGCAAAGGGAGACTTCAGTCAGAGATGGAGGACATGTATACCAATTCTCCCTTGCTTGCTCATTGCTGTCTTCCTGGAACTGAGTCCATAGCTCACTTTCTACTGAGATTCCAAAGCTGCAAATTACATGGGAGAAGATTTCCCATTATTCTCCCCTAGAGTGGCTGGTGGGTTCGAACTGCCACAGAGGAGTGGCCTACAGCCTACACTACCTGAGCTCCACAGTTTAAATTTTACATTATTGCAGTGAGGAAGAGGTTATATTAGTTGTATACTTCTTACTTAAATTAGTTGTACTATCCCAAAATGAATTTTAAAGAATTAAGTGTTAAACGTGGGTAATAAAATGTGTGTAAGTGCAAAAATAATTCCAATGTTCACATGTTATAATTATTAAATACATATAACAAATGAGAGAAAAGGAAAAATTTTTAATTGGTTTATCTAGCAATTTATATGTTCCATGAATAAATCTTCAACATTAGGTACACTGTGATAAAACCTGTAAGAAGCTTTTCCATATCCACTCTGGTTGGTGGAAAAGGATCTCTTGTGATGTCACACATAAGGAGCTTTGCTGCTAATCCCAAGGTAGTGCCTCTCTGGTGGTTCAAATCCACCCTTGACTCCACTAGATGAAAATGAACAATCTCCTATGCAGTTTACACCCGTGAAAACTCGAGAGTGGGTCAGCTATGAGTCACAACTATCTCTACGGCAATGAGTGTGAATAAGGGGTGAAATGAATCAAGAAGTAGGGTGCAACGAAATCAAACCCTGTTCCATTCTTAAATATACGGTTAGATTAATAAATAAAGCTATTTCACATCTGTAAAGGCTTTAATCAGAGCAAGCAAAAATCAGTTGTCTTAGCCATTATAGAGCGCTAAAGCAATCAGCTTATTGTAAATTTCTTAAAAGAGGCCTTGTTTATCATGTACACTCATAGAGGAGGTGAAACTTCGTAATAATGTCCTAGAAATCTTACCTGCATTCATAAAAAACTACTAATAAAGAAAAAACAAAAACAAATTCCCCACATTCCTAATGCTCACTAGTAAATAGGCTTTTAAACTGCTATAAATGGAAAGAATTTAGAAACTTCCTCTCCATTAGGTTGACTTCTTCGAGTTCTCTTTAAGTGCAAGCTAACTATTCAGGCAGCACCACACCTAGAAACTGAGATGCACTTGGGTTCATTCCACAAATGTGGGAATAGAGACATCAGCCACTCAGTAAATCTATGTCCTCAAATCCATCGGAATTAAGAAGAATCACTTCCTTGTAAAGCGTTCCCTCTCTCATTTAAAATTCACCAGAGCTGATAGTTGACCTAAATTGTTCTTTTTGATAAGCACATGACTGTCTACTTTCAAAATCAAGCTGCTTCCTACATTGTAAGTAATTACTATGTAGAAAAAGCTATAACTCATGCAAGGAGATGAGATCCATGCAAGAAGAGATGAAAAAGAATTAGGGTCTCACCTAACACAGCAGTCGGCACAAGTGGATCATTGGGCACTGCAGGAAAACAAAGCTCATGAAGGAATATACTGGCCTAAAGTTGTGTTTTAAATTCTTCTCCTTACAACAGATTTATGCTTTCTTAAGAAACATAATTATGAATCTGTCTTTGATTATCATAATCTACAAAGTTAAAATCCCTCATTCCATTCTTTAAGAATCTGGCTACTCAAAGTGTGCAGAAAGGCATGTCTGTAATTACACTTCACTAAATTTCTCAAGTCAAAAGACAGAAGAATTAACTTCACATTATTAAGATTAAAATTAAAACAAAGTCAATACACCTTGAATACAGCAACTACAAGATACTTAAAGAGAAATAATCATATCTAACTCATTTCAAATGATATTTTTTTTCCCATTTAGTTCTGGAAAAGGACTTGATTCTTCCTCCAAGTTCATTTATATTACTGAATTAAAACTTCCTAATAAGCTACTAAGACAGACTATAAAGACATTTGAGGAAGAGAAATGTTTTAGTCTTCTAGTATAAAATGATAAGATTAGTAAAACAGTAAAACTTTCTACAATAAGTGTTTTATATTCTTCTCTATTATTTATCTTACAGTGACAAAAACATAGAGGAAAGAAAGGTCATATTATGATAAAAACTACATTGAGAAATGACTCATGCATCAGTTCTAACTGTTAATTTCGGTAGATACGTAGCAAGGGAAACGATGGGCTGCATTCAGGACCGATTACTGCTCATGCTTCACCAAATTCGACACTTCAGAGAAAACTTCCTTCTTTACAAAGACAGAGAGACACACAACCTACTAGTCCTTCCCACCCCCACCCCCATCTTGGTACTAAATATATGTGTAAGGTGTATAGTTGCATTTCTACAATTCATGTCTTATGCACCAATCTTTCACCCTGGGGTTAGTATACCTCTGGGAACTGTGTTAGGATGTCCTAGGTACCCAAAGCCAGAGGATAAATGTGATGTGTCCTCCTCAAGCATCAGTTTTACTTGAGGATTTAAAGAAACAAAATCAGGTGATTTAACTTGTAAGTCATTTTTTGAAAACACAGGTACTACAGGATATACAATTCACAGGCATTTTGATTAGAAAACAATTATTCAAGTAATTTTCTATTAACAGAACCTCAGTGGAAACATTTAAGGCTCTGCCTTCATCATTCAGTTCTGGAAATTCTTAATATGGATAGATAGATGGATTTGGCCAGCCTCTGCCAATCACCAAAATCAGTTACACTTTTTAACTATCACTGGATAGTTAAGAATGTGTATATTAATTTTCTCTCAATTAACTTTTATTACTAAAAATTCCTAGAAGTCCATAGAAGAATATTTGAATGGACTAATTTTATCTATGTCATTAATTTCCAGAAATAATTACCATGCTGCTTCTTTCTACAAATGAGCTTTATATTATAGAAAAGGAATACGCAGCCATCAAAATTATGCATAAATTATAATAAGAAGTAATTTTTTTGTAGACAGTTAAGTATTTTAACTTAAAAAGATGACATGATTTGATCCTGTGGTAGATGTTTGGAATATCTCTAAGGGTGCAGCAATTAAATCAATGTCATTGAAGCTAAAGGGAATCAAGGCTTAAAATGTACCTGTAAAAATACCATGATGTTTAATATTCTTTCCTCTGTTTTAATCTCCTTGTTTTCTCTCTTTTTCAACTTTTCACAATTGTGGAAAGCAATGTGAAAAACCCAATGGAAATGTTATTAACTGGAGAAGTTATTTATTCAAGTATGAATGTTGAACTTACATCTTGGGCTGAAATTGTGTTGGTCCATGAAGGTGATGGAAAGGGGATCTTCTGCATGAAGAGTGCTTTGGTCAGCGTAACTGCGATCCATTGCATTCACCATGTGAGTCATCTCTTGCCGGGTATTCCCCATAGCATCTTTGCGCTTTTTAGCAAGCTTGCTGCCAAAGCAAATGGCAAAATGCAAACCTTAGTGTCAGGCTTAGGGGGGACTTGAATCCAGCAGTTAGTAGATCAGGAGAGACCAAAGATAAAGATACAGCCAAGAAGAATGAGTTTAGCAACACTAAGAACTAGTCATAATCTTAGGAATTAAAGCTGCCATTCAAACAAGTATATTTTATTATGATGAGAAAACTATTTTATTTGTTGTATGTCTATTTTAATATTCAGGCTGCCAGTCAAAGCCTTATGCCATTTCTTGTATTTCATTCTGCTGCTAATATGAAGATATTAGAAAATTTAACTATATTTTATTAAAGTCATAAGCAAATACTTCCCATGTAGAAAATCTCAAGGAAAATTTAAACTAAAACTAAGTTTTAATTTTCCTTTTGGATAATTAATTCTTTTGATCGAATATAAGAACTCCTCTTGAGAATATTATGGTTCTTTTTCATGTTTGTTTTGCTTTAATAAACCAATCAAAACAGAAAATGCTCCATTCTTCGTTATCTATGTTGTCAGTAAGTTATATGTACTCTTAACATTAATCAAGATTACTTTGAAAACTTTTAGTCTATCACAACTAGACATAATACAAACACATAGAAATATATGGGATTAAGTGAGATATATGTGTGTGTGTGTGTATATATATATATATATAT